CTTGTGTGGGATGTGCTCAGTCAGAGACACAATAACATGCAGGCCAATTTGCAAGCCCATTATGAGCAAGGGCTGAAAGAAAAGGACACCATTTTTCTTTATTTATCAAACAGTAAAATCTCCCCTTCTCCCCTGAACCATTCTCTACCTCAGATTTTTTTTTTTATGTTAGTGCCAGAGGATCTGGCATCAAAGATGGCAAATATAAATGTATAAATCGACAGACACAGGGAAATTCCCCAATCACTCTGATTAGAGGGGGTACATGTAATTCCCTTACTCTGGAGATTAGAAATCAGCTTCCATTTTTCCAAAGCTTCTGAAGACAGCATAATACTGTGCAAATAGGCACACAGGTGTTTACTTTAGTCTTTCCATTTCTTCCTAGGAATATGTAACTTCTGTGCTCAGAGCAGTTATTCTGAAAAGGGGGTCGATAAACACACCAAATTCAAGAAACCTTTACTATTGTGGTCTGCAAAAGCAACGAAGATTGATGCCTCCTTAACGTTTGTGAACTTCCCTTGCACACCACATGGAGGTGAGATGAACTTAATTTGCGTGGGCATATCATTCTTCATTTCCAAGTATGTGTCACCCAGAAGTACACAACATGAAAACGATGCTATTCAGTAAGCGGTGAGTTTCTAAGCAGACTGAGCACTTCAAGCCTGGTTTCTACTTTGGGAAGCAACATAAACATAAAGGGTCATAAAACGATGTGATTATAAGAGGCAAACCACCACCTTCCACAGCACGCCAGAGCGGGCTGCTCACAAATGAGCAATAACGCAAGCCACTCACATGAAAAAGCAGAGGAAACACACACAGTGCAGAATTTAAAAAAAAAAGCATCAGAAAATCCCCAAACTCTATTGCTAGTTCTATAAAAGCATGTTGTTTCCTTTCACACATTTACTTAAATACATCATAGACATTTACCATCTACTTCTAAGAATTTAAGAAAATAGCCTAGTCTCTCCACGCTACCCAATACTCATCAGAATTTCGTTTATGTTCCTTCACTGATGGCTCAGGCCCACATATTTACTCTGTCCTGGGACAGTCACTCAAATATCAACGGAGTGCCCACTGTGGGCCATCCAGCCCTCTAGGTCTTAGAGATTCACCAGAAAATTAATAATAATAATAAAACATGATTTTTGCTTTCATGGAGATTAGTTACGGAAATGGATGATTAAAAATAAATATATAATATGTAAGGTGTTTAAAAAAATAAGATAGGCTAGCAGTGGTTCTCAACTTTCTGGCCCTTTAAATACAGTTCCTCATGTTGTGACCCAACCATAAAATTATTTTCGTTGCTACTTCGTAACTGTAATGTTGCTACTGTTATGAATTGTAATGTAAATATCTGATATGCAGGATGGTCTTAGGCGACCCCTGTGAAAGGGTCGTTCGACCGCCAAAGGGGTCGCAACCCACAGGTTGAGAACCGCTGGGCTAGAGGATAGAGATGGGTTGGGTGCTATTTTATACAGGTCAGGGTGGGCTACTTTGAAAAGGTAACTTGAGAAGTCCTATTTAAGGAAGCAGGGAAGCTCAGGAAAGAAATATGGATCACCAGCTCAAACATTTACAAAGTAAGTAAATGTTTGAGTATGAAGGTGGACAGTTTTTAAAAAGTTAATTTCAAAAGTGGCTCCTATTTAATTTTCAAGCAGACCCATGGGTGTGGTTCCTAAATGTAACTGACTACAACTATATTCTTAGAAAGCACTCTAGTGAATACCTTTGAATGGCCCCGTGGTGCCTGGGAGGGCCTGGTGGAAAGGGTATCATGGTAAAGACAGAAATAATAATTCTTTTTCTTCACCATAATACTGTGCTCAACATTTTAAAAACAGCAGTGCGTTAAAACTGTGTCAAATCCTTGACTACCTGAAAGTTTATGTTCAGAACGTCTTTGAAAACCTCACTTACTGTTTGAGCCTTGACATGGTATCACATGAGCAGTTCAAAGCAATGGTTTAAACAAAAACCCACAAGATTAAAAAAGAAAAAAGGTTAGATTGATTATAGTAACTGCAGCGCTCATTACAATGTAATCGGAAACCTAAACCACTTTTTCATGACACTTGTTTCCTAGGATGAAAATGCTTTAAAACAATTTCTGGAAGTACATTCTAATAGCTACCTGATTGAGAAAACAATTTCCAGTAAAACACACTGATATTGCAGCTCCCAGATCTCACAAGCCCCAGATTATTCCATAATAGCAAAGGACACTTTCACAATAAGAGATACTTTTGATTAAGTATTAAAGTGCCTCATACGACGCTCTGCCCCTTACGGGGGCCCCAAACCAAGATGCCAACTGATCCATAAGCAGTAGCCTGGAGCAAGTTACAAACTCACAACATACCACTTCATGGGGTCAGTGACTTGCCCAAGGTTGCAAACTTAGTTGTCCTTGACAATAGGATGGGGAACAGGATTCAGATCAATTGATTCCAGGAGTTGTGTACTTTCCACTAGAACCAAGGTGCTCATACGTACAAAATGGAAACACATTAAAACACCAGCATCACTCATAGTCTGTTCACTATGACACACTGGAAGATTTCCAATGTAATCAATTTACCTTAATACACTATTTAAGCCATGTATATAGATAAATATGCACACTTTAATAAAAATATTTAGAAAACCATGAAAATTTTTCTCTTCAATGTTAAAGCTTTTCTCCCTGATATATTCCCTCATATTACTAAACCTTGCTTCTCAAAATATTTTATGAAACTGGAAAAAATATAGGTAATAAGCACCTAGAAAAGTTTCCTGTGTTATTAAGCTGAAAACTTAAATATATATATTTACACATATATGTGTAAATACAAGTATATGTATTTATGTATACACTCTAGAGGCCCGGTGCACAAAATTCGTGCACTGGGGGGTGGGGTTCCCTCAGCAGTCCGGGAGCCCTCAGTGGATGTCCTACTGACAGCCACAGTCTGGCAGCAGAGACTCGGAGCAGGCGTCCCGTGTGTGTGTGTGTGTGTGTGTGTGTCTCCCCGCTGGGGACCTGTCTCCAGCCACATTGGAGGCTCGGAGCAGTTGCCGTGTGTGTGTGTGTGTGTGTGTGTGTGTGTCTGCTGGAGGCCTGCCCCCAGCCACACTGTGGAGGCTTAGAGCAGGCACCCCTCTATGTTGATCTCTCAGGCTCCTGGCCTCCACTGCCTGTTGAACTCTCCCTTAAGCTGTGGCCCGGGTGGGGTGCTGCCTGCAGGCTGCACTTTCCTGCTCACAGATCACCGGATCGCCACGGAGCCCCGGGGGCAGGCCCTCCTGGGTGCTGCCTGCCGCTGCACTTTCCTGCTCTGGGATCACCACGGCGACCCAGGAGCAGGCCCACCTGGGGGCTTCCTGCCCTCCCACTTTCCTGCTCTGTGATCGCCATGGTGACCCAGGAGCAGGTCCTCCTGGGGGCTGCCTGCAGACTGCACTTTCCTGCTCACCGATCGCTGGATTGCCACGGCGATCCGGGGGCAGGCCCTGCTGGTTGCTGCCTGTGGGCAGCACTTTCCTGCTCTCAGATCACCATGGGTCCTGGCTGGCAGCAAGGCTTAGGCGGCACACGGGGGTCCTGGATGCGGGCGGGGTGTAGGCGGCGCGGGGCTTAGGCAGCACACAGGGGTCCCGGCTGGGGATGGGGCTGCACACGGGGCCCTGATGGCAGCTTGTGCTGTCCCGCCCTGCCTGCAGTATGCAAATTAGACGCCATCTTTGTTGGCGGCTAATTTGCACATCACGCTGATTAGCCAATGGGAGGCATAGCGAAGGTATGGTCAATTACCATCTTTTTCTATTATTAGATAGGATAACACATACAAATATATAGTATATATTAAGTGTGTGTATAAAGTATATATTGCATTAAGCATGTATATATTTATAGACATATGTATAAGACCCTAGTCACAGCTGGCTCTTCACTTTCTAAACTGTGAAGGTAGTATGTTCCTAGGCCATCCTGGGCTTCCTGGAGCTGTATTCTTTCCTGGTCAAAACTCTTCTAAGCTGCCCAGCTGGCATGGCTCAGTGCTTGAGTGTCGACCTATGAACCAGGAGGTCATGGTTCGATTCCTGGCCAGGGTACTTGCCCACGTTGTAGGCTCAATCTCCAGTGTGGGGTGTGCATGAGGCAGCCAATCAATAATTCTCTCTCATCATTGATGTTTCTATCTCGCTCTCCCTCTCCTTTCCTCTCTGAAATCAATAAAAATATACACTAAACCAACAACAACAACCTCTTCTAAACTTTTGGGGACATGGTCTAGCTCTGTGGTAAAATCTCCAGAAAGCAGAGCTGGCCCAACCCCTAAGTGTCTTGGCGGGTAAGCCCTCTGAAGCCACCGGGTACTGTTTCTTCAATTACTTGGTCCTCAAATGCCTCACGGAAGGTGACCAGCAGCTGACCTGCAGGATCTACCTGACTAATCTCAAAGTCCCAACCCAGAAGCCCCATAAAAACCAGTCAACCAGCCAAGTTTCAGCAAGAGAAGCACCTAAAACAACTGACTATACTTGCAAACCTCAGATTTTTGAAAACCAAAAAAATTCATTCCAATCAAACACTACACACCAATAAAAATCACTGCTGGTGGCAATTCCGGTGGCTAATTCTTAGCCCAGAGAATGTGAGCCCTACCCATCAACCTAAAAGAACTGCGAGGCTGTTTAAATTTGATACCACTGAACTGTACCAGGAGCAAGGGCAATCCTACAATGAAAGAATCACTGTATCCCATGCTTTTTTCCTGAAGGAGAAAGTGAGAAGTGCTTCATAGAAGCTGGGAGAAAGGCAAGTTTGCAGCAAATGAAAACAGAACCTCTCCCCTAAAAAAAAATAAAATAATTGGATGATCACCTAGCACTAATATGAACACCCCTTCCTTGGCCTGGCTCAGCCACATCCAATGATTCACGACTCCTTGCAAGGCAAGCTGCTGCAGGTGCTGCTCCTGTTAACTTACAACATTCACTGTGCACAGTTCACTGGGAGCCCCAGCCTTCCTTCACCATGGAGACTTCCCACGCGAAGCTGGAGCGCTCCCGGGCTCAGGCGTGTTCTTTCCTCTTTCACAGAGACGTGAGGAAAACCTAGCACGGGAATAGAACAGAAGAGAAAGAAAAGGTCAGTCAATGCACCATCAAGTCATTCTTTACCCCAACAAATGAAGTTCACAATCAATTAGACTAATTGATCACTCGCCAAAGACCATTCTCCACCACCTTTTTGTGAAAAAGAAATTCAATAGTTTTGCTCTGGCCCCAGGAGACACAGCAGCATGCCACGGCCAACCTTTCGCCCTGCTCCTCCCTGCCCCCCATGAGGTTGAAGCCAGCTCTGGGAGACTTCAGAGGCAATCCCAGCTGAGATGCAAACTTGCAACACAGCCTCAAAATAGGCCCTTGGTTTTACTCTCTGCAGAAAGGAGGGAGCTGGGACCTTTTGCCATTTTCATACCTCACTGGGTGGTTGGGAAGATCAATAAGATCACTCTTGCAAAGCACTCAGTTTCTGAGAAGAAAGGCACTATATAAACACAAAGCATTGTCAGTGGCCATAAGCCTGTTACAGAGCTCTGAGCCAGAATATAAAAGCCGGCACTGGCTAGCCACCAACAACTGACAGTCCCTGGGGGCCCTCAAACTTCTAAACCTCAGCCAGGGCCACCAGGCTGATTCCTCCTTCCAGGGAGGGGCTGGGGGAAGCAGAGGTCTGGAATCCCAGGGAGAAAGAAACTGAGGGCCTGGGGCAGGAAGGGAAGAGGAAGGGGGAGTGGAAGGTGGTGAGAGGCATGTGCAGGCGCATCATGACCTGGTCCAGCCACAGAACTCCCTGGGGTGGCTGGTTTGCAGTATTTAGTGCACTGGAGGTTTGCGGGACTGTGAAATTTTCCACTTGGCCGTCTGCCATTTCCGCCCACCAAGGATAACACTTAGACACAGTTGTGGTGCACAGAGGACCTGTGGGGGAAGGACTGGATCATTCGTGTTTGTTGCTTTTAAAGAAAAGACCTATTCATATTTTGATCATTAATATTTTCCACACCTGGATTTTTAAAATTTTTCCCTTCTTGAAGACAGAGCCAGAAATAGCCTTTCCTGGGCCAATATTATCGAGTTATTTTGACTTGGGAATCCTTGAGGAACATACTTGAGGTAAAGGAACACACATGAGTGGTGTTGGGGACAACAGAAAACAGATTTAAGTGCTGCGCTGGGATCCTGTTTGCTTCCCAAGTAAGTCACCCCCAAGGGCCTTTCAAAGTCATGAGCACACGCTGAGTAAAGGCGGGAGTTGCAGCATTAGCATTGTGGGTGTAATATTTTTGAGAGAAAAAAGTGGTCCCTTATCTCAAAAAAAAAGACAACAATGATGTCAAACCTTAGATGTGGAATTGGTAAAACACTGACAAATGCTACCTCAAAGTAAGGAACTAAAAATTGGAGAGAAAGAAATTAGGACAGAAGAGAGAAAGGAGGTGCCTGCTGCCGATATAATTAACCATGCTTTTATAGTGAACACAGCTCACAAAGTGCTTGCTTATTAATTAACTCATTCATGTCAACTTTTCACTTGGTGCTTAGCATATCCACCAGGCTCTATATTTTCAGTGGTGAGCAAATCAGACAAGAACCATGCCTTTAAGGAGCTCCTTGCCTCACAGGGACGGCATTAAAGAACCCTAGCACACTCTTTTTAGTTTATGTATAAAATGTGAACACTGAACAGGTATTGTGAAGGAAAAATAAGCACTGCCATTTGAATTCATAATGGGGTAGGTACCCCATTTGAAAGGAGGGGCTCAGAAGGCTTTTCTCACAAAAGTGCCATTTAAGCAGAGAAGTGAACGACGAGAGGAAGTTAGCCAGGCACGGGGTTTCCAGGGAGAGGAAACAGCCTGTCCTTAGGGGATGTCATCCAGAGATGAACAACTGAGTTCTATGTCCTCTTAATTTTTTCTGGCCATTTCAATTGGGTCTCCTTGATTAAAATCAAGAATTGAGCAATAGGCTTTATATTATTAGTTAGAGTTATTGTGGTGATTGCTTTGCAATATATAGACATATAGAATCGTTGTTGGACACCTGAAACTAACATAATGTTACATGTCAATTGCATTTCAATTTTTTTTTTTTTTTAAAGCTGATTCTTCTTTCTGACTGCCAGGCCCATCAGAGCAGCGCACACTTAGTGGTTTCCTGGAGAGGAACCCCATAAGTGCAGGTATTAAATCTGATATGACAGCAGAGGTCCACTCTGGCCGCCTAATGCATCTCTCTCACCCCATCATCACAAGAAAAAGAAGCTCTCTGCTAACACCTGCATGCCACAGCTGGAGTTCAGAAAACCCTCTCCAAAAAGAGCTAAAAACAGATCCCATCACATGTAAATGTCTGAAAAAAAAATCTTAGTACTTTGCATTAGGTTTCAAATTTGCTGGCTTCCTCTAGATTAACAATTTTTTTTTATTTCTCTCATGCAGTTAAATGGCATTTATATCCACCTACCTAATATAATATTATAGGTCAACTGTAATTGGGAAAAAATCAAAATTTATTTTTAAAAAAGAGTGTCTTAGAAACCTTCTGTCTTGGTTTGTGGCTTGGTTATCCACGTAATACTTTGCAAAGAAATAAAATTGTTCCCTATGTCCCAGATCTGGTACAATTTAATTCTTCCACTAAGGAAAATCAGTTATTTGCTTTCCTCATCCTACGAAACAAAGGCTTCCTCAGACAGGCTTATTCATGTACTCCCCGTTGATGGAGTAAGTTTGAAAATCTATTTGAAACAAATAAGCCAAACTTTTATCTGCATCTCTTTCCATTTAAGACACCCAGGATAAAATATAATTTCTCCTACAAGTTTCTCATAAAACCAAAAATAATAAAACACTCCAAGTTCAGTCTTGAAATACAAACCCTCGCTTTGACTCAGTAGCTTTGACAAACTAGAAAACTTGGAAAGAAAAGGGAGGGCAAGGAAAAGGACTTCTTGAACCTGAGTTGTCCACCAGCCCTCCTACCAGCCCTGGGAAATTCTGCCTGGCTGACAGCTTCTTCCTGGGGAGAGGAGTAAATGACACCCTGCCAATTTCTCCTTCCCCTGACTGCCCACAGCACTTACAGTCTCTATCACACATTTTAACCCAAGTCCTTTTCAATTCCGCGTTCAGTTATATTGTCTGTTTATATTCCACTGGATTTATTTAAGTCTTGAAGGCTTGAAAAGCTTTTAAGCTCCTTGGTGAAAGAAAGCTTGCCATGCCCTTCTTTTGCAGCCTCCTCAGAGTGTCTGTTAGAAGAGCCTGAATTTAAATTAAATGATCCGTTTCCAAAACCTGTTCTACGACTTGAGCTGTACTCCAAAGGAACCACTGCTCTCTAGCTATAATCTAAGCCCTTCTCATTTTTCCCTGTCCTCCAGGGACTGCAGCTCCTACGATGCCTACCATCCAAATGAGAGTCCTCCATACACTGGAGAACAATTAAGTTATAACTCAGCTCTCCTCCTCTGTTCTTCCGGCCCATTGTATTTTTAGTCGAGGGTGGCTTTTGAACAGTTGCCATCTCCTTTGAAGATTTACAACCCACACCGCACCCCAGGTCACTGGGAACCTGTATCTTTGATCCTCGCAGTTTTTCAAAAGCTATTATTAAGGAAACCTGTGTGTGTGGAGGGGAGATGAATGAAGTGCTTCTTAAACCTCAACCACCATCAGAAAAACCTGGAGGTCTTGTTCAACCGTGTTGCTGGGGCCCATCCCCAGAATTTCAGACTCGGTAGGTGTGGGGTTTCTAACCAGTTCCCAGGTGGTGCTGATGCTGCTGGTCCAGGGACAATGCTTGGAGAACCCCTGCTCTAAGGGCAAGTCTTCGTGGATAGATAGCCAGACAGAGGCTAAGGGTCTTCTGAGTATATTCAATCACTCTCTGAAGAGGGCTACATTGGAAGGACTCTTACCTGTCTATTCCAAAGAGGTGACAGATGACCAAAAACCAAAAGGCTCACACACTTTATAATCTGGAAAAACTTCTGGTGGCTTTCAGCCTGGAGTCTTAGTCTGTTCTCTCCCTACTGGCTTCAGGTCCTGTCAGGGTCAATTCAGCCCTCTGTCTCTCCTTCCATCTTTTTCCTTTACTAGAAACTCCTTACAAAGGTATCAGCCATTGCTATTCCTGAAAGACCTTCCCTCTATCCTGGTACATTTCCAGATGGCTGTCACCTTTCTCCTGTTCACCAACAAACATGTTAACGTGTTGTATAAACTCAAGGTTGGTATTTTCCCAGGCATATCTTAAACTCTTGGAGTTTGACTTCCACCCCTTTTGTGTGTTTTTTGTTGTTGTTGTTTCTTTTTTCCCCCAAAATATAATATTTTATTGATTTTTTACAGAGAGGAAGGGAGAGGGATAGAGAGGTAGAAACATTGATGAGAGGGAAACATCAATCAGCTGCTTCCTGCACAACCCCTACTGTATATGTGCCCGCAACCAAGGTACATGCCCTTGACGGGAATCAAACCCGGGAACCTTGAGTCCACAGGCCGACGCTCTATCCACTGAGCCAAACCGGTCAGGGCCACCCCTTTTGTTTTTTTAAGTAAACCTCCTTCTCTTTCCTTCAGATGGTTTCCTGCCTTCTAAATGCAGAGGCTCTTTTCTACCTGACTTCTTTTACAACATTTAACACAGTAGGTCTAGAGAATCAGAATACACATCCCTCTGGCCATGATGACTGTGTTAGGGGTAGGCAGGTGACCAATGCCATGCCAATCAAAGCCTCTCGGACCGGCTGACCTGAGGAAATAATGCACCCTGTCCTAGGGAGGCCATGGAAACATGGTCTAAAAAGAGCCATTCTTACCACCTGGTGAGGAAAACCCAAATGATAATGAAGCTCTTCAGTAGGGAGCAAAGCTGCAAGACAGAAGGACTGAGTCCTGACAACAGTGAGGTCCTGTGGATCCAGCCATGCCAAATGTTAGATTTATCCCTGGCAAAATGCTCACGTGGCCCCCACACTGCCCTGCCCTCAAGTGCACACACATACCTTCTCCTAGTTATTCAATCAAACTCAAATCTGGTTG